ACAGACTAACAATTTATTCCAGTATGAGCTTTCACGAGACACAGCTCACTTCTTCAGATACAATAGGAAGAAAGAAGCTCGTTTACCTCATTTATACAAAAAATTACAGAAGAGGAGGAGGGAAGAGGAAGGAGTTGAGCAGAGAGAGGCCTTGCATAACAAATTAGGTGAGATTTTCTATGCCTGGAGGAGGCAACAGAGTGCAGTTCTTTTTTTACTTCTATAGCCAACATGCACTCCTGCCACAAAACTGTCCAAGCACTTCCAACGGATGTGGGCAAGGTCCCTTTCACAGGTTGCAGCCCTTGACAGTGCTAACCATTCCAACTCTGCTTATCCAGGCCTCAAAAAACTGCATGGCAGCAGATAAAGATTTGCATTCTCATCGGAGAGAAACTTAGATTTGAGAAGTAACTGTGCAATCCTAAACAGAGATACACACTCTTCTAAAGCTATGGAAGTCAATGGTCTTAGACCAGTGTAACTGTGTTTAGGATTGCACTGTAAAAACCCTACAACAACACCCCCCCCCCAAAAAAAAGACTGTGACCAAAATGCCAAGCATATTAAATCCAACTGACTGTCTTGGTTTAAGCATGCCTAAATGCTGTGTCGGATATCTTTTGCCGCAGGTTCTAACTCAAAATGCATTGAGTTTGACATTCCTGCAATAAACATTGCCCAGTAAGCATAAATAACAACCACATCTGTTTTCTCACAGAGCTAACGCTTAATCCTCATGCAAAGCAAGGCTGCTTTCCTAGTTCAACGATACTCAAATTTTGCAATCTCCCCTTCCCCGGAAAAGTACATAAAGACCCAATTGTTGTTGTTGTTTTAAATGCTTTACAGCTGAAAGTAACTGAATAACCTTCGGGGAAATGTAAACTCACTTCTTTAGAGCATTCTTACCCTGCTGGAGGTGACTTAGTCCTGGAAAACAGCTGTTTTTTACTTCTTTTTCTGGTTGCATTTTTCCTTGCAAGAACTCCCACTACGGACTTCAGGCTACAATCTGTTTATTCAATTTACTGCGTGATTTGGTGTGTGTGTGTGGGGGGGTCTTCCTGTCTTTCAGAGCTTCGTTCACCAGTGTGTCTTTTCAGCATTTTGCTGGTTGTTGAGTAACTTGGCATTGTTTGATGGGTTTGGGGAGAGGGCATAACCTGGATTTATTCCTGACACACATTCTTGACACACAACCATTCCTGACACACATTCCTGACACACAACCATTCACGTTACTCTTGCGCAATAATATCAGTCTCACATGCTATTCGAAGAGCAGGCAAGGGGCCAAACTACACTTCCATCATTGGAGCTACAGGTATGTAATCTAGCTGGGGGGGGAACAACTGTGGTGCCCCAATCAGGATCAAAGCATTGGCCCTAGGGAATGAGGGCGGGTTCCCAACATCGTTCCTGCCATAGGGTTGCCAACTTCCAGGTGAGGCCTGGAGATCTCTTGGAATTACAACTGATCCCCAGATAACAGAGATCAGGTCCCTTGGGGGGGAAATGTCTGCTTTGGAGGGTGGCATTATACCCTGCTGACCCTTTCCCCCTCCCTAAACCCCACCCTTCCCGAGGTCCATTCCCAGATTTCCAGGAAATGCTCAGCTCAGAGCTGGAAACCCTAAGTTGCCAACTGAGATGGCCTCTAGAATCATAGAGTTGGAAGGTACCTCCAGGGTCATCTAGTCCAACCTCCTGCACAAGGCAGAAAATTCACAAATACCTCCCCACGCGCACACACACACACACCCAGTGACCCCTGCTCCATGACCAGAAGATGACAAAAAACCCTCCAGGATCCCTGGCCAAAATGGTCTGGGGAAAACTGCTTCCTGACCCCAAAGTGGCAATCAGCACAAGCATTAGTCTCAAAAGATCAGTATTGTCTGCTCTGACTGCCAGCTGCGGTCCTGGGTGGAGGTCTTTCACATCTACGACTACCTGATCTTTTTACTTGGAGATGCTAGGGACTGGATCTGAGTCATTCCCCAAGCAAAGCAGGTGCTCTACCACTGAACTCCAGCTCCTCATATTCCCCTTTCCCCCCCATACTGGGACTTAAGAGCCAGTTTGGTGTGGTGGTTAAGTGCGCGGACTCTAATTTGGGAGAACTGGGTTTGATTCCCCACTCCTCACTTGCACCTGCTGGATGACCTTGGGCAAGCCATAGTTCTGTCAGAGCTGTTATCTCAAGGACAGTTCTGGAAAGAGCTCTCTCAGCCCCACCTACCTCACAGGGTGTCTGTTGTGGGGAGAGGAAGGGAAAGGAGTTTGTAAGCCGCTCTGAGACACCTTCGGGTAGTGAAGGGTGGGGTATAAATCCAATCTCTTCTTCTTCTTCTTCTTCCTAAACTTACTGTGAAGGAGGAGCTGTTTTCAATCAGGGAAACAGCATGAAGATTTGCCCCTCCCCTTCCTCAATGCCATGGCCCCGCTCCAGATTGGAGGGAGGCACAGCAACTTTGTTTAGCCAGTTTACACATCTGGAGTTGGAGTTAGGGAACTCCAGCATCCAAGCTGGGCCTTCACACCAGTGAGTTAGTGACTCAGTTTCACATGGTTAGGGTACCATTCTTTAGACTTCCTGAGGCCCTGAAGCTTATTCCACCACTCTTACTCAAGGCAAACTCCTCCCCCGGTCTATTCCTCACTTCCTGTTTCTCCTTCAAACTGCTTCTGTCTCTGAACCCCACACATATGGTTGCAGACACACAGTTGACCATCACTGTACTAGTGTCCCTTAATGCCTTCTCTCCTGTTCACAGCACAGATGTCCTCCTGTCTTTCCTTGTGTTTTGGCCATTGTTTATACACTTTTGAGAAGCTGGAAAGTTCATGTGCATTCCTTAACATCAATGGTTAGGGCATCTCAGGCAATAAACTGTAGCCAAACTCTCACAGGCCATAGCATCAGACTTTTTAAAATCTGTTTTCCTCAAGTTCATTTTCTCGTCATGGGTTCATCAGATTTCTGTGGTGGTGGTGGGGGAGGTAAATTGGCACAACTACATGTTGTGTGCTTTAATTTGACACCTAATTTGTCTTTCTCAGTCTATAACAAATGTTCTACAAGATTATCGAAAGCTGGCTTTGACTGTTCAGATACATATATTGTATAAAACCAAAGGTCATTTCGGGGGGGATCGCGGGGGATCGCAGTTCCCCCGGGTGAGGTACGGGGGGCGGGGCACATGACGAAGCCCCGCCCCCTGCTTCCGGCCGCCCCGCTTCTGGCCCTCATTCAGCCAGGAAAAGGCAGGAGAAGAGCCTGGAGGGTAAGTTGCTTCCTCCCTGCCTCTCCCCACCCCTGCTTGCCTGGGGCCAGGGAGGGCCTTCGCGGGGCTTCCTTGCACTCCAGCTGACCTTGCAGGTCCACCGCCGGGCCCCTCATGGGGCTCAGCAGTGGAGCTGCAAGGCCGGTGGCGGCGGCCGGGACCGTTGGGGGCGGGGTGTGTGGCCTTATGACACACTTCCGGTGATGTCAGGGGGTGTGGCATATGCTAATGAGTTATGCTAATGAGTTCCCCTAGCTCTTTTTCTACGAAACGACCCCTGTATAAAACTGTGTTTCCCAGCCTGTGTGGGTCAGGACCCAAAAGTGGGTTGTGGAGCCTCTGTGAGCGGGCTGCAGGCCAGCCCTCTCTTCTCTTATGGCCACCTCTGCCCTTTCTATTGCTCGCTTGTATTTTGGAAACCAAGATCTGACCCAGGAAACAGTATCTTCCATACATTAGTTGGCATTTTTTCCCTTCCCTGAATATACGTGTTGATCAGTTGAAACATGTCCTGATGGTTACTAGAGTGAGTTGCTTAGAATCTTAGGAGGGAGCAGAGGGAGTGATGGAGAAGGAGAGGGTGGTCAAAGGCTGGAATGTAACCTCCATATGCAAAGTCTGTGTATGTCAGAATTGCCACTTGCTTGGGGTATATAGTGGGATGTGGGGACATTTGTGCCCTTTGAGCAATGTTTGTTGGTTTCTCAAAAACATCTGGTTAGCCACTGTAGTGCTGAACTAGATGAGCGCCAAGGTCATAGCAAGACACCGAAGAACCTAGGGCCAGCCCTGGATGTAGGGACACCAGCTCCCTCTCGGCAACTGGTAGGGGATGGGGGGACTTACCAGGAGAAAGAAGAAGGACCAGGCCACGTCATCAGTGTCATACAGGAAGTCACGTCATCACACTGCAACATTGCTGTGACAGTCTGGTATTTGGGCAAAAACTCTACGGTGGCTTCTGCCATAGAGTTTTGCCCAAACACAAGAGGATCACCCAGACATCACTGGCATGATCACATCACTTCCTGTGCAATGCCAGCAACATGGCCTAGGCCTTCCTTCTTATCCTGGTAAGTCCCCCCCTCTGGCCACCTGATCAGCTGCTGGGGGGCAGGGCTCGGCAGCAGGGGACCCCCACCTCTACCAGGAAGTCTGACAACCCTACCTAGATGGGTTGCCACACCAACTAAACTTGCAGTTGTGGGTCACCATATCCCTCCTCCAAGCACAAATAGTTCCTCTCCATATTTTATCATGAGATCTCTATGAGATTGGTTAGAGTGAGCCCAGAATCACTCACAAGTTTCATGGATCTTGGCATTTGAACTTGTCATTTCCCTAGTTCAAGCCTGACTCCTTATCCATCACATTAGCTGTCATTTGCCTAAGTAAATTCTGTTGAACTTAATGGGACCGAGTAGGATTTGGCTGTTTTGCGTGGTTAAAAACTGACTCCATTAAGACAAAGACAATTGTGTTCAGTGACTGCTTAGAAAAGGAAGATGAATATTCCCTTCCCAAATGGTGCCCTGTACAGTGATGTTGGATACTACAGTTACACTATTCAGCACTACTCTAAAGAGAAATTTTGCAAATAAAATAGTAGAGCCAGATTAAGTGTGTTTGGATTGTGTGTCATATCAAGCGACAGGAAATATATGAGGCAAAGAACTTAGAGGAGAAAAGGAACTGGCAACGGCAACTTACGCTAATTTTTGGCTGTGCGCAGTGCTGAATCCAGCAAATGAGCAACTTCTGCTGATTCTTCCTCCATCAGCAGGAGAAACAAACGTTAGTTTCACTGACATGATTCCTGGTTAGTTGGGCTCTCACCTCTGGAAATAAAAGGAAAACAAGCTAGTCAAAGGAAGAACTTGGGAATAAAGAATAACAATACAGGCTCTGGAATGATTTGAGACTAGTGATCATGTTTTGTTATTTTGAGATCAATGGTCCTCATTAACAAGAACAAGAATTTCCCCCATTTTGAGCAAATACCAACTTGCCATCGAACCTCAGGTAGTTTCCTTTTTTGTTGGCTGCTATTAGCCCTGCAGTTACACAATCTGTGGCCAAATTCTTATCTATTATAATGTATCTGAGACACTCTCCTGCTATGGATTAACATGACAATCTCATAATTTTTAAAAATGTTATTTTACCAGTGGCATAATTTTTCTTTTATCATTTATCCTGTAATTGCCATAGATATATGAACTGTGATTTTTTTTTTGTATGGCTCAATCCCCCAGTCAAAGGACCTCATTGTTAATAAAGGAAAAGAATAATAATACACACATAAACAGGATCTATCTATGCCTATATGGAGCTCCTTTACATTATTGGATAATCAGTCTTCCTCAACCCACTATCTATCCTTACTAGCAGAAGCCCTCTGGGGTTTAAGCAAGGACTGATTCTGGAGGCCCCAGGAACAGCATTTCAGGGGCCACTTGGGAATGCAGCAGGAAGGGGAGGCGAGAAAGTTCCAATATATGAAACTGTGATTTTTTTTTTGTATGGCTCAATCCCCCAGTCAAAGGACCTCATTGTTAATAAAGGAAAAGAATAATAATACACACATAAACAGGATCTATCTATGCCTATATGGAGCTCCTTTACATTATTGGATAATCAGTCTTCCTCAACCCACTATCTATCCTTACTAGCAGAAGCCCTCTGGGGTTTAAGCAAGGACTGATTCTGGAGGCCCCAGGAACAGCATTTCAGGGGCCACTTGGGAATGCAGCAGGAAGGGGAGGCGAGAAAGTTCCATTTTGTAGACACATATCGCTCTGTTGTTGGATCTAAGTTGATGTCTGCCCATTGGCCACCAAGTTAACACATTTTCAAAGAACTCAGTAGCTTAGTTCCTGTGCAGGGTGAGCAGAATGGAGCTGCGTGAAGTGTTTTTTTTTGCCTCCTCTGTCTCTCTGCACTAATCTATGCTTCCCCCCCACACACACCCATCATTCCTTTCCAGGACCCAAGGGACACAATGGCGTCAAAATGGGAAGCCTACAGCGAGATGGGAGAATCTGCAAAGACTGCCCTCCCCCTTTCTGCAACCAGAAGTGCCTCTTTAAGCTTCAAACCCAGGCCAATATTTTATACCTTGGAAAATACATCTCCAGATACCTCAGTTGTTGACATTGTGAAGAACTGGGCTGTAAAAGTGTCACAGGTTCCTAGTAGATATATTTGTGATTATACCAACGAGCAGTGGCCCACACACACACACACATCCTGATACTTCTGTCATTCTGAAAACATTTCAGAGGATCCCCCTCCCCTTATTATTCTCTTGATCTGGTGTGTTCTTCCTTTAAGTTCACCTCTAGTGCATGTGTAAATCTAATTATATTTTAAAATGTCAAACATCAGCGAGGACAGCTCTTCTTCCAAATCCCTCAAAATTTTATTTACAGGAGGCTTGACTTCTTTGAAGGCTATGTGCCTTGCCTCCCTTGTACCAGAGCACATATATCCCAGCAGAGTATTGTTTAAATTTTAAGTAGCAGGATTATTACTCCTAGAGAATAACTTACTCCTTCTTCTCACCGATAGCTTGTGGACATGATATCATGCTATTGCCATTAAAAAGGCACCTCTGGGAATACTGTGCAAAGACTGGGATATGCTTTGACTTGTGTGTCGACTGCATTTCCTTTAGGGTTTTTTTTGGTGGGTTTTTTAGTTGTAGAAGAAAAAGTCTGTTAAATACATTTCTGCACCAATGGCCTCTCCAGAGCAAACAGCCCACTTAAACATCCTCTGTCAGATCAGTGGTTGTAATCGACGGATGAGTTCTTCAAGCTCTAACTCCGCCGTTCCTATTCTGCCCCAAGCAAATATCAGTACTTGGTGTACAGATCTAACTAATTCTACTTGTCATGATCTGAGGGGCAGATATTTATTGTATTTTAAATGTTGTAAGCCACCCGACTCCCCTGTGGGTAGATTAATAAATTAATAAAATAATAAAAATATAATTGAGTTTGCAGGGTTTTTGTACTGAAGCTCCCGCAAGGGCTGCTTCCACACCATGCTGAATTTCCACAGTAGTCCGGTTGCTAAAGCAATTCTGTGTGAAATCGCCCTTGCAATGGAGATTCTAGATAGCCCAGGTTAATATGTTTGCTTTCCATTTTTAGCAGTTGTTTCTCTTTCGCACCTGATGTGCACTGAAGCTCCCCTTCTGTGAAATGACATGTCCCACCTTTTTTATTTTGAGGGTAATGCAATGTGGTATAGAAAAAATTAAAAACCCTTCATATATTTGCAGACACCTCCAACAATCCCCTCCCCCCTCCCTAAAAGCAGACTGAGCTGTAAGTGATTCTCTTCTTTTTTAAAATAAAAAACCTCAATGAGAATGAATAATGCTGGACAGGAATAACACAATACCTTTAAAAGCCTTTTGAAAAATCTCCCTCAATGAGCATGAGTAACACTGGATAGGAATAACACAATACCTTTAACAACCTTTTTCAAAAATCTCCTCATATGTTCAAAGACTCTTACAGTCTCTTCCCCTCTATCTAAAAGTCAGGCAGTTCTCTTCTGTTATACTAACTGTTGCCCTGGACTGGCTCTTTGCAGTTATCAACAGATGAAAAGACTAATTGACAAGCTCTTCACCCAAGTGCTGCAATTGTGCTGTTTCCCCTTATGACACAGAAACTGCCTGTGCTGATAGCATCCTGCCTAGGAAAACAGGTTTAAAACAGAGCAGGGTTTCTTGTTTGTGTGAAAGTTCTGTGCGCAAATAAATAATGACAATGTGTGGAAACATGAAAAAAATACGCATCAGTTGGGTGACTGAAACATGGGAAATCCTTGGTGTGGAAGCAGCTCTGGAGTAAATTGTAATTGTAATGTATCCATATCAGATCCCGTGCGCGGCCATTTCACCACGCGGTCAGACGAAGCGACCGAGCTTCACTCTCAGTAACAATGGGACAAGCGGATCCTAGCCGGCACCTATCGGCAGGCTAGGCTCCCAGCCAAGAGCCTACGGAACTCTCAGCCACTGTAAATAGCCAATCACTTGTGTGTGGGTGTGTTTGGGGAGCGGGGTTTGTGCACATATAAACCAGCCTGCGAGCTGGGTACTCTCGTCTTGTTCTGAGCTGAAATAAAGTATGAGAGCTGAAATCACTAGTAAGTCTCAGTACTTTTCACTGGCGACGAAGGTGGAATTCTAACTCTCATGAACAATGACCCGGACGAAGATTCAAGCACCGCATCGAGCCCCAATGCCGAGACCACTGCAAGCCGCTCCGCTCCGCATCCTGGTTCTCCGGTTGCCGCTCACCGCTCCGCTCCTCGCTCCGTACCTCGCCCTGCTGACCCTGAGAACAGCAGTGCTTCCCGCCTTGCTCCAGCCACCGCCACTGCCGCCGCTCCCGAACAACCCGAACGTGGACGCAGTACGATGGCTACCTCCCAGGAGAGCATCGCCACTTTCGACATCTTCCGCCCCGCACAGTGGGAGACCTGGCTCGAGATCCTGGAGAGCTACTTCGACTGCCACGACATCGTAGACCCGGGTAAGAAAAAAGCCC